AGACCAGGCGCAATTACAGGCGATCGGCAGAGTTTCTGAGCCTGGAACAACTTTATTCTAAAATCTCTGTGGCCTGGAACAAGGAAGCCAAAGTCTTGAATCAAGAGGATTTCTGGCAGCTTCCATTGTTACGTAACCCACGGACTTCATTCCCAAGGGAGTGTCTGGGACTCTAAGGAAAACCAAAACCACACCTCCGCCATCTTTGCTGAACAACGGAACGCACAAAGGTGTTTAAAAATCACTGTTAGGAACCCGCCTGAGCTCATGTGCCTCTGCCACGTGTCTGGAGACAGCAACACAACGCCACGGTTCCCTCACGAGGACGAAGTCTGGTCAACTCAACGCCACTTTTTACAGTGGTGCGCGCAGGGGAGCGTCTCTCTCGACAGCCCCAGGGAGCCTCTCCGGCTTTGCTGCAGGGGGACAAGCCCTCGCTCGTCAGGGAGTGCTGGGCAGGTGCACCAGTTGTAGACCCGCGGGTGTGAGGGGGCAGGGAGAAAGGCAGCCGGCCAGATGGCCCCCAGCTGGTCCTACAGAAGTTTGCTGTCAAGTAATAACTTACTCCGGGGACATCCATCTGTCTGCCGTTTGTGAAAACCCTGGCTTTTCGGGTTAACACCCTGTCCTGAGAGCAGGAGGTACCACCCCCCACGACAACTCACATAAGAAACAACAGGACGGACCTCTGGGTGAAAGGGAACGTGCTGTGAGTGCAGATGCACATGTTCGAACACCCAGAACGGTTTCCAGGGAATGTTCGAACCGTCTGCACGGGGGCCGGGGTGCTGCGTAAAATGAGTCATCACGGCAGCAACGAGTCTCTGCCAACTTTCCTGGTGTGTCCATCCCAGGGTTTCCGCCCCCAGAGGACTTACGTGGCAGCGAGTACCCGCCATGCTCTGTGGGGGCCCAGGTAAGCCTAGAAGCCAGGCCCTAGGGAGACACCGGCACCCCAGGGCACACCGCCCTACCTGGGCCAGACGCCGGGACCCCCGCGGCGCACACCTGCGCCCAAGACCAGGACCCCCTGCTGCCACGCCCATACCCGAGGCTGGGACCCCTGCTGCCTGCGCCAGGGTGGTCCCCACGTCCCTCAGAGGCTCCAGAGCCAATTCCTTCATCGCCAGAAGAGGCTTCGCTGGCCCCTCGACACTGACCGGGGAGCTGAACTGACAGTACAAATTACAGATCTGAAATGCTGTTTCCAACTTCTCGAGACTTTCCCTGGGTTTCCTGTTTCAGTGACCTATTAATTATTCACACAGACCCAGCCTCCTGTGTGGTGGGCTAGATGCTATCGAGCAGTTATTTTGGTAACTCAGTAAACAGAGCTTCATTCTTTGACCCCTGGGTCAGAGGTCAGTGATGTCTCCCAGGTCACTCCGTGGGCCCCTGGGAGGGCAGGTGGGAACAGGGGACCCTGCCCTGTGGACTCTGGGACACCAGGCACCACGCAGAGGGCGGTGAGGGCGGGCGCCGGGGGACGTGGAGAAACAAACTGGGAAACCAGAACCAGCAGACCGAGGGCCTTTGGCAAACCAGTTAGCCCCCGTGAGAAGACCCCTCAGTCATAAGGTTCTGGTTTATCAGCAGCAACCCTGGAGGAAGACCAGCCGTCCTGCAGCCCCTGTTAAGGCGAATCCCACGGCAGGCCCTCCCCAGACCAAAGGCAGACGATGGCCTCCCACCTCACCCAGGACCCAGGGAACGGCCTCTGAGAACCCGGGAGGCCTTGCTCCCATGCACACAGAGGTGCTGGCCCCTCTGAGGGTCGCAGACTGACCTCCCGGGCTTGGGATGACAAGCAGGGCAGAGGGTGGGTGGCCTGGGAGGGCCCAGAAGCACCGGCTGCCATCGTCCTTCACGACTGGCGGTATGAACGCGGGAGCTCGGGAGAAACAGAACACAGGCCACGGGGTCCTACGCTGGGTCCTGCGACGTGGGGCAGGCTGCACGTGGAAAGGAGGGAGAGACCAGGACGATGCAGAAGGCCCTTCCCACCCTCCAGTCCTGCTCTGACTGAGCCTGAGAAGAACGCCCCACGTGTCACCGCACGTCCCCAGATGCAGAGCAGGGGGGCTGGTGTGCCGGGTAGCTCCTTCCTGCGGTCACTGACACTCCAGAAAGGGAGCAGGTCCTCCTTCTGGGGCCGGGCTGGGGCACTTTCATTCTGCAGAAAATGACTTTGATTTGATGGAGACACCTGGAATTGAAAGTCTGGTGAACAGTGGCAGGTGCGGCGGGGTCAGTGGGTTTTTATCAGGCTCCCCGGGCCCTTGGTGCACGTGACCACTTTCGTCTGAGCGCTAACAGTCTGTCCCGGGCCAGAGCCCATGTCCCGCAGACCCACCGGCCACAGCACAGCTCATGGGGTGCATGGCTGCCCCAGGAACTGCCCGCGGCGTGGCCTGGCCTCTGCAGAGAGAGGAGCGGGCGTGGTGCTGGAGCCCCGTGTCAGAGGATCCGCTAAAAACTCAGCACAGAATAAACCCTTGTGGTTAGCGTGCTTTCGCGGCAACTGAAAGACTTTTCTATTTTCATTTGTTTTAAAACTGTGCGCAATTTCTATTTTTATCCAACTTGTGGCCCGCCAACTGAAAAAGAAAACAAACCCCCAAAACCCCCTCTTTGTAACTGCTTACCTCACACTTGCATAGAAATAAATTCACTCTGCCACAGATCTACCAGAAAATGCTAAATTACTAATTTCTCACCCATGAGAAGTGCTGACAACACCTGACATTTTCTGTTGAGCACCATTTACGTTTTGCATTTCACTTGTAAGGCTGGGGGGGGGGGGTGTTCATCCCGTTTAAACCCACAACCAGCCTCTTGCATTTGTCCTCACTTAGTCTGAAATAATCTGTAAGATATTTTAAATACTGTTTCAAGTTTTGCTAATTTCTCCAAAATGTCTCAATTCTCTCTGTAACGTCTACACAGGTAGATGAACACACCCTGAGGCCCTGGGGGTGGGGGTCCTGGTGAGGGGTGAATGACAAAGGCAGGTGCCAGGGCTGCCTTCTGTCATCCTCCAGGAGCCCTCAATTGCTGGAGCCGAGAGGTGGTCCCCAATGAGCCCTGTGCTTTGCATTTCAACACAAAAGGTATTAATGTTTATAGGCGCCCCCGCCCCCTTGGCAGGACCTGTGCCCCTTGCTGCTATAATTTTGAGAAATGGGGCCAATTGGCCATTATTCTTCCACTGCCCGATTCCCTCTTCTCCTGGAGCTGCTTTATTTCCTCGGCCTTGAAACACCCTCTTCCGTCTGTGGCAGGGCATCTAGTCCCACGCGGTAGCAGCGGGAAAGCGAGTTAAGTGTCTCTAGTTACAGAGCCCGGCTGATGCAGCGTAGCTGGACCTTCACCCGCTGGGAAGGCGGGGGCCGAAAACGTCTAGCAGGCTGCCACATGCTGTCGAGTCGCGCAGCCACGCACGTAGGCACTAACTGGCGGCAGGCACGCGGCCACAACACTGCCCGCACCGTCCCACCAACGCCATGCTGCCGTCGCCTGGGCGGACAGCCTCTCTCTCTGGGGCGCCGTCCCTGACAGGATTTCTATTTTTCTAAATGGCATAAAATAAAAACATGGGTACCCTGCTGAGCACCCTTCTGACTGGCCTCATCCCCCAATGATGGAGTTGGGGCCCATGGGGGGAGACATGTGCCCCATCCACCGCCTGGAGCTCTGGGCAGGAGAGCGACCCGTCCACACACGGCCACCCGAGTCCCGCCAATGGGCTGGGCAGGGGGGTCAACGCTTGTCGGGTAACATCTGACAAAAGTCCACTGGCACCCATGCAGCAGCCAACCTCCACGCCCACACGTCCTCCCGGGGGTGAAGGGTGACGCCTGCATCACAGCGACCGAGGTGCCCCGAGGCCACCAATGACAAATGTTCCAACTCAAAAGCCAAGTGAAACTTATTCCCCTCCAAGTGTTTGGGGTGGGAGACCAGCACCCAGAGTCACCCCAACACGTGAGCAGGAGACCCCAGCCTGGCCCTGACGGCGTGTGGCATCTCTCCCCTGGGAACCCTGAGCTCCCTGGCGCCCTGGCAGTTCCTCTATCCCTCCTGTGTCCTGCCTGAGGAACCCCAAAGCACGGAAAGGGACAGACGCCATGCTGGGAAGCTGATGGAACCAGCCCGCGGGCCCACCCAGGGGCTCCGGGCTCCGTGGTCTGTGTGGGCCAGAGAGTCTGTGTTTCTAGCAGGGCAGCTGATGGCCATCCCGGGCCTAGCAGAGGAGGGGAGGAGGCGGGCGCAGGCTCTGGAGAGCAAGCACCATGAAGCCTGTAGGCTGCTCTCCTCAGTTCTGACCACACTTCTCTCCTCAAAAATAAAACATCTTCATTTCAAGGTTATATTTATTTTCTTCTAAATGTGCTATTCCAGAACACGTTAAAAAAGGAAAAACCCCCAGGTTCACGTCTCCCAAGAGGCGCAGAAGACAGCCCACCACCCACACTGCCCGCCGGCGCCACCAGGAAACTGAGGCAGACCCTCAGGGTCCTTTCCCTGCTGTCCCATCCTGTCTGAATCAAGTGTGCCCGCCCGAGGAAGACGAGGGGAGAGGCGGTGTCTGGCAGGATGAGGCAACAGCAAGGCCTCAGCCACCCCCGCGAGTCACAGGCCACGGCCCCACTGGGGGACGCGGGCCTCCTGACCACGGCCCAGCGCGCGGACTGCTCCCCGCAGTCTCTGGGACTCGCCGGAGAGGGTTCCCATTTTCACACAAAGCTTAGGGTCAATGATGGCGGCTGACTTTGAGCTGTGGAAGGAAAAGCTATGGGGCCCCCTCACTGCAGCCACCGTGCGCGTCGAGGAGAAACACGGGACTGTGTGTGCAGACGCTGCAGAGCTCAAGCACTCTGCAGGAGAGTTTTTTAAGAGAAAACGGGACAAGCAGAGCCGGCTATTGCGCAGTGGCCGAACAAGCCCCAGCTCCCACCTCTGGGCACGGATGCGTGCCCGAGGGGAATAGACCCCGGTACCTGCACGCTGGGGTGTCCTCCGGCCGACGCCTTCACGGCCCCCCGGCTCCCCTCCGTCTCATAGTGGGCTCTGTGGTGGGGCTTGGGCTGCACCTCGATCCTCAGCTCGTAGGGTCCCGAGCGCGATGGCAGCTGCCAGTCCAGGGCGGGGAGGGACGGGCTGAAAGGGAACACACAGGGCGTCACGCACGCACGCCAAGCGACCCCTCTGACCGTGGCACCCACTCGCCACACTGGCATCAGCCTGAGAACTGCATCCCTTAGCATCTTCGGGTTAATGTCCCCTTCCGTGAGGACAGAGTAAAACCAACGGCCACGAGTCTATGACAATCCGCCTCAGCCTGTCAGGTCTTCGGGACAACGTTCTGGAACAAGAGGGAAACCTCTCCCACCCACCTTAAAATATATTCCTTCTTTTGTGATGGACCAACGTTAATTTACCCTCCCTCATAAGATAGGTTCCAGAACTAACTGAAGATCTTTCCAAAATCACTGAGGTAAGACCCTGACCTAAGAACCGGGAAGGCCAGTTCTAATGCCCCTGCCCCACTGACCGGCCGTGTGCAGGACTTAACAGTCTGGGCATGGCTGGCCCCTTCTGCATGGCGGTTCGCAGTGACCCCAGCCCCCCTCAGTCCCGCGGTCCGGGCACAACACACGACACAGGACGAGCTTGTGTGATGTCACTTCTGTGAGCTGGTTTATCGTTCTGGCGCTGGCGAGGGGAAAGGAATGGTGTGTGGCAGAGACCAGCTCCTGTGGGAAGAGCCCACAGGAGCCACACCGCCCTGCCACAGCACACAGGTTTGCTGTAATTGTCCCATTTCCCCGACGAAGGAAAAGGGCCTCTGGGAGCACTCCTCAGGAGGGGGCCACGGCACCGCAGTCACTCGCCCCAGACAGAACCCAGGCGCAGGGACGCCTGACAGCGCGGCCCCTCAGAGCACCCCAGGCCCCGGCTCTGTTCTGTGTGATCTCACACACACAGTCCATCTCTACAAAGACTGTGTAACGCTGCGGACAGAGAAAGACACGGAAGCTCAGGTCCACCCGCCTCCCAGAAAAGTAAAACGAGAGAAAGAACAGAAGGACACAGTTCCCCAAAGTTCAGGTGAAAGGCACATGCACTTGACCATGACAGAGGAAGAAATTCACGTCACTAACGTGCTCTTGGATCATTGGCAGAGTCTGCGCGCAGTGTGCGTGCAGCTTGAAGTCAGTGCAGATCCCAAAGTGCGGCAACACACAATTACAAGGACTGTTTTGGGTTGAAATTCTTCCGCATGAATTTGGCGGCTCCACACAGCTGCAAACAGTCCCTGGCTCGGAGGCGAGGTCCGAGCCTGGAGAGGTGTGGAGGCCCCACGGCCTTGGCCCACAGTCCCCACAACCCCCGCGTGCCACAGCAGACACTGTGGCCTGGCCTCAGCCCCCACGCCTGGGCTTCCTGCTGAACACAACCGATGATTTCGTACTTTAAACCCACCTGTGAGTTGATGTGATTCTTTACAAAGCCACCCTCTCAATGCAATCAGGGAAACACGGGCCGCGGACCAGAAACTGCAGTCATCCACGTGCACGCGCTCGCTTGCACACACAGAAGCATCCATCTCCACACGTGGGTGTGTGCCCGTGAGCATTCTCACAGGAAAAGGGATATATTGTAAGAAAATGAGATATATATGTATTTGGATACGCTGGCTTTTTTAAAATTAAAGATGTTTTCAGCATGTTAGGAAATTTTTAAAAAATGGCTGGATCACCGCATCCCGTCCGGTCCTCACGGATTCGCGCCCACTGCTGAACTTGGAGAGTCGGTGCTGTCCGCCCCAGGAAGGTGAGGGTCCCGCGTGAGGTGGGGGCTGCCTTCCTGGTCGTTTCCTTAGATTCACGGCCTCCGTCCAAGAGGGCACACGCTTGAGGCTCCTGACACATGTCCAGATGGCGCCCGGAGACGCTCAGGGGGGCCCCTGGTGACCTCGCGGGCACAGGCCCGACAGGCGCTGGTCCTTGCCAGCGCTTCCCACGGAAGACCTCGCTGACGCCACAGTTTCACAAACACTGACACCGAGAGCAAAATGATCCGTTAAGTATCAGTAGTGCTTCTAAACCACCTGTGAAAATCTCCACAGCGCTCCATATCCACCTTTTACCACAGACCACGTGGACCCCCCAGCCCCCAGCCTCCAGGCCCGGCCCCCGAGCCGCAGACAGCCTGCTTCTGCTCTAGCTGACTGTCAGTGTCCTTAGTGTCGTCCATTATGGCAGACAGATTCGCCCCTCCTGGCCTGTTCAGCACCCGCGTTTTAAATGTAATGATTTCACAAGTGCTGGGACGTGGTCCTGTGAGCTTCATGTGAAATACAAATTCATACAACACAGCACAGGAATAACACTCCCGTGGAGGAATACAGAGTGGGCCCAAGCTGCTTTTAATTTGAGGAGCCCAAACGCATTTTGTCCCCAAAGACAGAGGGTCCAGGTCCAGCCACCTGGCCTGGTGCAGAGGGGGCTCTGGGAGGTCTGCAGCCACGAAGATGCATGTCCACGGAAACCCTCCCAGGAGAGAACCTGAGGAGCCCCCTGCAAATTACATGGTTTTCTTGAATTCCTGCAGGAGTTTCTTGCTTGTAACATGACGACGATGATGACGTCAACTTGTTGCTCAGCAGCGTGGACGGTTAATGAGGTGCTGAGCAGAGACCCCAGGCACCCCAATACCTAGTTCTCCCCTAGAGCCTGCCAGGGCCCAGGTGCTGACGGTGGCTCACAGGGTCAGGGATGGTGGCTGAAGGAGATCTCTCTGCAACTTTCCATGAATCTGGAATTCTTGCAAAACAAAAAGTTTTTTTTTTTTAAAATGCTCATTCCTGCGGCACCTGGGTGGCTCAAGAAATCTCAGGGTCGTGAGATTGAGCCCCAAGTCTGGCTTTGAACTCAGTGTGGAGTATCCTTGAGATTCTCTCTCTCTCTCCCTCTGCCTTTGCCCCTCCCCCTCAAAAAATAACAGAATAAGTAAATAAATTAATTTTAAAAATCCTCATCCTTGTGCTTGCGAAACAGAAGTCCAAATCCTGTGCCAGTTACTATTACCATCACCCCCAGAAGAGGCCAGTGAGCTACGGTCACATGTGGGCCCCCACCTACCACCCCTGAGTCATGCTGAGTGCTTGTTGTGTGCACCCCGGTACAACGGCATCACCCCCAGCCGCTCCCCCCGCCCCCCGCCGGGAGTCCTGGGCCCTGCGGGACGGAGACAGGCCCGGCTCCCGCTCTGCCCTGCGCCAAGGACCCAGCCGACACTGCCCTGTGTGCTGGGGCGCCTCGTGTGACAGCACAAGGGAAGCGGGTCACAGTCTGCCCAGGGCCTCTCGGTGCGTGGGCGCGGCCTCCTGTGGGGAAGAAGGGGCCCCGCAGTCGCAGTCTGAATCACCCTGCTCTCAGAGCTGCCACCACCGCCCGTTTCCCACGAGAAAAGCCTTTCAACTTCTACTGAACCTGTGTTCCCTCCTCATAGGAAAAGTGTGAAAGGATTTTTTTAAATGCTTAGTTCACGGCATCTCAACACCTACATGCTGTGATCCAAAGTCAGAGAACAGCCTGAGTTCTGCCCCCATCAACCTGGCCATGGTCGCGGCCTCTGGAGCGGCCGTGACACGTCCCCCGCGAGGCCCTTCCCACCTGCCGCTGCTGGCCACCTGCTTCGTGCCTCGCGCAGAGGCCCGCAGGCTCCGCCACACACCTGCGCCGTACAAAACACCCTCTTGCTTCACACCAGCGCCGACCCCCTAACAGGAGCTCGGTGACCACCCCATGGACAAAGCCGGACACCGCATGGTGTCTGTGATTCCCTCCAGCATTTCTGTGCAGGGGACCCAGCAAGCCCGGGGGCGCACCCGCTGGGAGAAATGCTGAGGTGTGGACGACCGTCTACACTGGAGCCCGAAACCAACGTGATCTTGATGACAACTGTTGTGGACACCGCCCGGGGCTCGCCAATCGCCTCCAGACCTCACCTCAGCCCCACAGAGCAGCGGCCACTCCAGACAGCGCTCCGGGGGACCCGTGGCTAACGGGGCCAGGGCAGGACTCGGATTTAAACCGTCTCAGCAGTGGCCACTGACACCCGAGACAGACACCAGATGTCTGCCTCCCGAGGGAGGCGCACTCACCATTTTGCCGAAACCTGAGGCCAGAATTCTGGCAAATGCCCAGATTCAAAACCAACTTGAGAAAACAAAGCGAATCAAAACAGGGAATACCCAGAGGACAGAAGAGCACCCCAAGTGACACCACGGGGGGAAACTGCGGAAATCCAGCCCCGGGGGGCGGACGGACCGATGGCTAACGGCCATGACTCTCAAAACGAGCCCCCGGTTTGGAAGACACACACTGCATGTGCAGGTACGATGACGTGATGTCTAGGCTGCGCCGCGGGACGGCCCTGGGGGATGGCGGCAGACAAGTGCCCGTGAGTCAGGGGACCCCGTTATGAGCGTGGCCGACAGTTTTATGTAGTAGTAAGCAGAGCGTGGTTCTCGCGGGCAAGATGGGGCGCGCTCCCGTGGCCGCTGTGGTCGTCAGGGCCGGGGGTAGCCATGGCTCTTCCCTTTGTTTACCTGCAGTTTAAGCGTCTACAGTAGAGAATGCTACTTGGAGAACTGAAAACACAGCCAGCTTTCCAAGGTTCAGCTTTCTCTTGCTCCTCGCCGGCCCGGTGAGGCGCCCACTCTGGAAAGCACTTGAGCGGCGGCGTCTGAGGGCCCTTCTGCGATTCCCTGGGAGGCCACGTCCACGATGTCTGAAACCAGATTTTCCACATGAGCCGCAGCTGGGTCCAGGAGGAAGCTTCCCTGTTGTGGCCGGAGCCCAGATGTGAGGCGAGTCTTTGGCTTCTATGGTTTAGGGTAAAACCCCCTCACTTCTGAAGTTTCCAGACCTTCGAGCCCACACAGACATATCACTCAGAGGAAAGCTATAAAGGCTTTTATGAGTCCTGTTTTCCTAAAGTAGCTGAGGCTGTAAACTCTGAACTTGGCAGGACTCAGACCCGCCCAAAGGAAGGACAATCAAAACCCAAGGAAAGCGATATTATCGAAGGAACACCACACATTTTCTCAGGGTTGGTGGCCAAAGGCCTCCCCACCGCCCGTTGTTTGT